TACCCCAATCCCAAACACCGACCCCATATTCAGACCCCTAACCCTCACCCCCCATCCTCACCCCATATTCAGACCCCATCCTGACCCCATACCCCAAATTCAGACCTCATACCCCAAGTTCAGACCCCATACCCCAAGTTCAGACCCCATACCCTGACCCCATACCCCAAATTCAGACCCCATATCCCACACCCTCTCCCCCCACCCTGACCCCAAATTCAGACCCCATACCCCAAACACTGACCCCATATTCAGACCCCACACCATAATCTCACCTTCCTCCATCCCCAATCCCAGCTTCCAGATCCAACCCCACTCCCACCACCCCAACCTCCCAGCTTCTCACCGGGTCGGACCGGATCCGATCCGCACCGCCGCCCGCAGCCCCGAAATCGCCCTCAGCCGCCCCAATGCCCGCAGCGCCGCCATCTTGCCCTTGGCGCTGCGCAGGGGGGCGGAGCCAGTCGCCATGTTGGGGAAGGGCAAGCGAAGCCGTTCCGCGTCGCCATATTGACTATGGGCAACCGCCATGTTTAGTAAGGGAAACATCCGGGATAGCGCAGCTGGAGAGGAGCTGCCGCCATGTTTGAACCGGGCAAGGGGCAAAGGAAGGGCGGAGGGGGGTAGAGGGACTGTGAGAGTGGGGTCGGGGTGTGGGGTCTGGATATGGGGTCAGTGTTTAGGATTGGGGTATGGGGTCTGAATATGGGGTCGGGGTGTGGGGTCTGGATATGGGGTGAAGATGGGGGGAGAGGGTGTGGGGTATGGGGTCAGTGTATGGGGTCTGAATTTGGGGCATGGGGTCTGAATATGGGGTGAAGATGGAGAGTAAGGGTGTGGGATATGGGGTCAGTGTATGGGGTCAGAATTTGGGGTATGGAGTCTGAATATGGGGTGAGGATGGGGGGTGAGGGTATGGGGTGTGAATCTGGGGTCAGTGTATGGGTATGGGGTCTGAATATGGGGTGAGGATGGGGGGTGAGGGTTTGGGGTCTGAATATGGGGTCAGGGTGGGGTCTGAATATGGGGTCACGGTATGGGGTGAGGATGTGGAATGTGAGATTATGGGGTTGGGCCAAGGTATGGGGTCTGAATATGGGGTCAGTGTTTAGGATTGGGGTATGGGGTCTGAATATGGGG